TTATAAATTAATTTTATTTATAATTTATTCACTCTCCCAATATACAAAGTTTTATTTAAATTTTTTTTTATTATAAAAATTAAAGAAAAGTAATGTAATTTTCTTTTTAAAGCTTTATTAACAATTTTATTTAATTTACAAATTGTTATGATTGTATTAATCTGTTATAAGCGTGCCATTTGAGAAAGCTCTTAAGATTAAAAAAAAAAAACTATATAAAAAAGTATTTCTAATTACAAGATATTATCTGTTATAGAATTAATTTCTGTCAATTTTTTAATTCATTTTCGAATTTATTTTAATTTTTGTTGTTAAAATTAATTAAAATATGAACGAACTTTTATAATTACATTATGCAGAATTAGATGATGATAAAGTCAAGATTCGAAAATGTTAGTCAATCCTCATATTCTTAAATTTGTAATGAAAATGTTATTCAATTCCTACAAGGCCATAAATCACAAAAAGATCAAAGGTCACTCAATTTTCACTGTCAAATTAGCATTGAACGGATTAAAAATCTCTATTGTCTTTAATTTATAGTCTTTACAAATATTAGACGTTTAAGAAATATAATTTAACTTAAAATTAGATTTATTCGAATTTTATAAAATTAAGAAAAAAATTGGACAGAGTTTCTAATGATATTTGAGATTTATCTAACATGTATTTCTAATTAAATTAATGGCACTAATTCATTTATCTTTATAGTTTTTATCAATTTATTGCTTCGCGTGGGAGTTTTAATCATTTTTTCTCTATATTGTTTCAGATTAACGTTCTATATTAATTCAATGGGACATTTTCAATTGTTCGTAAATAACGAACATAAAGGAGCACTTTTGTCCGGACTTCCAGTTAAAGAACAGTTATGGATTCTTCTAGATTTGTATGGAATAACAGTGTCTGTAAAATTTATAACGACTGGTAAGTTATTTGTTTAATTATTCTTTTGAGATATTTCTCAGAAAGGGAATAATTCTTCAAAAATCTAGATGAAAATCTCGCTAAGAGATTTCTTTTGATGAAGAATTGACTGTGATTTAAAAGAGATTCTCATCGAATCGATGAGAGATTAGATTTTTTAGAGAAAGATTTTCTCTTAAGAAATCTCTCATCAAATTCTCTTTAAAACCTTAAAAAGATTTTCCTCTCTTAAGGTTTTAAAGAGAATTTGAGGGAGGAAAAAACAATCTTTTTTCTTTAAATTATTCTCAGAATTTTGTCAAAAATCTCCTAGATTTTCATGAAAATATTCAAAAGAAGTTGATGAAAAGCTTCAGATTAAGAATGAAGGTAATATGAAGAACTTTGTTGAAATTATATGCCTTAAAGAATTCTTCATGTATCTAGATTAAAATTTATACGGTTTCATCGAAACACTTGAATAATTTTTACCCCTATTCGTACAAACGTATTAAAGAAAACTACGACAATATATCTATAAATGGCTACGATCGAGTTAACATTATGTTCTCTTCGAGTGACTTTTATTAGAACATTAAGCATCGATCAGATTATCTCCGTACAATGTATAGGTGCAGCTCATTCGGAGAATATGCAAGCTATTAAAAATTCATGATAAACTATCGATCAGAAACGGGCTTTCTTCCTAAAACAAAAAAAATTTTTTTTCTTAGTCCACAGAGAAGCCAATAAAATTAATAAAAGTCTATAGATTTTTTGTAAGAAAGATGTTTTAAAGACCTTCGTTCCACGAAATGAATATTTATTTTATTTATATTTTTAATATATCGACGATCGATTTTTTCTGTTTTGAAAGATAATATCAAGGGAATATAGTTCAAAGCTATTGCTAACTCAAATATTTTTATTTTATCTTAGTTTTTTGTCCTTTCATTATCGGAAATTGCTTTCCACTCGGTGGAACTTTCGACCGAAATTCTTTCGATCGAAGCTAGATTAAGTGATTTTCTCTTCTTGTTTTCTCATTTTCGGTTTTTTTTAAATGATAAAATAGTATATCAGTTAATTAAATATTGTATTTTTTAGGTTTTTATTAATATTATTTCTTAATTAATTAAATATTCGCAGTTTATACACATTTCTAAATGCATATTCTAGTTATGTTTGCATTGAAGTTCGAGAAATGAAGGTAATACTGTTTTTTAATTCAGCACAGATTATCATGTCTTTTTTTGTAAGAGTTGAGTGTTTTTTCTGGTAAACAACAACGAGAGACTCTAATTATGCTGTAAATGATCTCTTAACTAACTCTAGATTTTAACTATAAAACTTGATATAAATCAACTAAAAAATTGATTAAAGTTTTCAGAGTGTTCACATCTTCAAAAACGTCAATTTAAAATTAATCCAAAGAATTTAACTATAAATTATTACAGTGAGATTTATTTTTAGAAATTAATTGTTAAATTTCTGAAGAATATTTATCATTTAGAATTTTAAAATTTGACTTGAAGGTAGAAATGCCGCAAGGTCCGGATTTTGGTTTGTTGTGATCTTAAGCTATATAACACATGAGGCCTTTCCCTTCCTACCAAATAATAATTAATTTAAAAGCACATGGTTCCATTTTATGTATAAATCCGAATCCTGTGACTTTTTCAATCACATTTACAAACATAGAAGCTTCAACCGTCAACGAAAGCATAAATATTTATATAAATAAAATCAATAAAACAAATAAGAGTTGTTCATCCTTTATTAAAATAAATTTTTATTTTTATCACTTTATTATCGTATTTTTTACATAAAAGTTAAATTTTAGGAGTCTTTCTATGTGCTGGGACCCTATATAAGCAAACTCTTACGTTTAAAATATTCGTTTTTAAGGAGCTAAAAATTAAAAAAAAAAGTAAAGTTACAATTTAAAAAATGTATTTTAAAATTTACTGCAGACGGTAGAAATTTATTAAAGATTAAAAACTATATAAATATTATATTAAAGAGTAATTGATCATAAAATATAAAATATTATTAAGAATTATTATGGATATCATTAGTTTATTTTATTAACTATATAAATATTATGTTAAGATATAATTAATCATTAAAATAATACAGTATTATATGTTTATACAGTATTGCAAACGTACACATGGATAATGTTATCAGTTGGTTAATGTTATCAAAATTAATAGGTCCCAAAATATAAAAATAATACTTATAAAAGCTTCGTTTTTTTCAATCAAAATTCGGTTATTATTATCAGTACCTTCGAATGAATAAACATTTTTTTCGGCTGCAATTTGAAAAAAATTGTAGACCTAAAAATTTCCACTATCGTCCGTCTGTTTGTCTGTCTTTCCTTTATCTCGAGAATGAAGTTATATTTTAAATTATGTATTTAAATAATGTATTTACATTAGAAATGTGATTAAAAATTGTAATCTAGCATTGTGACGATGTCACAATAAATAATTGTTCGTTATGCTTTCTTTTCGTGCTAGCAGCCTGAACGTGTTGCCGATAACACGTTATTATTATAATTATTGTTATTGGTCTTAACCAGTGTTTTAAATGAATCGTTTTAATCGTTATTTATTCACAATACAATAGTTTAGATTGCTGGCATTACGCAAGCTATTGTTGAATTTGGTAGCAGAAATACAATGGTAGATGAATTGTTGGGTTGCAATTTGAAAAAAATTGTAGACCTCTAAATTCCCACTGTTGTCTGCTCTTCCTTAATCTCGAGAATAGTGTTAGATAGATAAAAGTTGAGATTAAATATGGAAGGCTAAGGAGACATCTGGCCCTATTAACTATATATGAACACCCGCTTTGGGCTGGAAGTCACGTTTTATTAATTAAAAATTTTCTCCTCAACGGAATTAGATACATAACCGGCATGACTTCATTGTTAAAAGGAAAAATATGATTTAAGTCATTACTAAACTTTAGAGTATTGTCATGAAAAATTACAGTCTGGCATTGTGGCAATGTCACAATAAATAATTGCTCGTTTATTAATTAAATTTAAAATATTCATCTCGTCGTTTCTAATAAATTAAAACCGATAAATTAGGATTTTCCGATTTTTTTTTTAAATTTTAAACTAGTAACCTTTCTACATTAAACTGGAAGAGAGTGAAATAAGGTTCTCTTCCCTAAGGACTCGCGGTCCATTGGTTGGGTAACGCTGACTGATTTATAATTGAATATCGATTTGAAAGCGAAATTAATTCTATTGATAGAAAACTATAGATTAGCCTAAATTACTGTATATTATTACTGAAACATAATAAATTACTGTAGGACAATTCTATTGTATACAAAGTTATTGAATATATCACTGTCAGCTTTTTAAATATAGGTTTATATATTCCAGTATAGTGTCATTTTTATATTATGTAGTAGTCTTAAATATGTATGTATACTATACTTTTCTAAATAATTTTAAAAATTTATATATTTTAAATATTTTTTGTACAAATTTTGCAGAAAACTGAATTCTTATGATTTTTTTCTTCATTAGGACTTTGTCTATATTTTTCAAATTAAGATTATTTAGTTTAATTAGATTAAAATCTTAACCTTCATTATCTTATTTTAAGAAATAATCTTAATTTTCGAATAATTTTTTAGGAAAATAGGTTATCTATTAGATGTAAGTGTCACGTTTGTGTTTAACGTTTAGAACCTCAAAAAAAAGTTATAATTGATGAAACTATACACGTAAAAGTAATTTGGCTATTGGCCTAAGAGTTTTGTAATAGTTTCAAAGTAGATGAATTATATATATATATAATATTAATAAGTTAATAAAATATATGATCTCTATATTGAAAGATAATTATATCATAGTTAAATACGAATTTTTTCAAGTAAAAAATGTTATATATTAATTAGATTTATATAGACAAAATTTTTTTTTTTTATAAGTATGAAAATATTTAAAAGTTTTTTAAATTAAATAGCCTATATATTTTTCATGTTTCAATCTGTTTTCTGTTTACGATTTTTAGGAATTAATATTGCAAGAGTTGCTTTATTAAGTTTCTAAAATTATATATCAAATATAAAATCANTGATTATTTTTCTTTAATTTATCTTAATTGTTATATAGAGAAGTTCTAAGAAAGCAAATCATATAAACTAATGTAGGCCTATAACTTTATAGGAACAATTAAAAACATATTGAATAAATATTGACTTTTATAAACTTAATTTTATTGTTTATTCTTTATACAAAAGATAAATGGAGATTCTCAATAAGCAAAATAAGGCACCCTTTACATTAACAATGAAAAAAAAATCTCATTTTCATATGATATACAGAAAAATTATTTTTTAATCATAACATATTTAACACTTAAACTAATTTTTACTATTTTATATAGAGAAGTAGAACAATGCTTCCATATTATTATTTCTTCAGCATTGTAACAGGCCCAGATTGAAGGAGTCAGCATGATTATTTGGATCAGTCTTGGACACAGAATGTGTGTGACTCAGGGATGGATATATTGATAGATTGCTGAGGACTTAGGCTTAAAAATTTTTTATGTTCTTTTTTAAAAACATTTTTAAATAATAAATTAAAAAGTTTGTATTTTTATTTCTTGTAGCTTGTTTCTAAATACTGTAAGTAGCTTTAGCTAAAAATGGTCATGCTGATTGAAAAGTTTCCTGAAAAGTTTATCATAAAATAGATTGCGATCTAATGTATTTTACGAGTTGCACATTTTTTAAATTTTAGGTATTTTTATGAATAAGTATTTACGTATCTTATAATAAAATCGAGATGAGTTGATAATAATAATAATTATTATTATTATAAGCGCAGAGCCCAAAAGGTTAGAAGTTGAAAGTTGAAATTTGGTATGATGCAAACTAAGAGTATGCCATGATGCAAACTAAGAAGGGATTTTGAAAGTTCTCCCACAGGGAGTGGGAGAGGGTTAACCCTTATATAGATCCGTCACTGCTGAGACTAAACCAAATAATTTCCAAAATTAGGATATTAAATAAGATAGAAGGCCTAACAAGGTTTAATGAGAATAGAGGAGTTAATATGAAAAATAGTACTAAAACCTTTAGGAAAAACCCTAAAGTGTTAGCATTTTATATGAGAAAGAGGAGTTGTAAAATTTTATCGTATATAATACAAAAGAAACGAAAGTGATATAATTTAAATTTTTTAGACGAGGAAAAAATTTTATTTGTTTTATTGACTTTGTTCATACATTTTTATGCCATCATAAAAAGTTAGGGTACATACAGCGTGAGTCATAAGTTTCCATACAAATGGTGAAAGCGGTGACTAATTTTTTTCGTTTTCAAGAAGGTGAACCAATTCAAAAGAAATGCCACTAACAAAGGAAGAACGGATTAACATTATTCTGTTGCATCATATGATACTATTTGTACGAATAAAATAAACATTAGTCATCGCTTTCACCATTTGTATGGAGACTTATGACTCACCCTGTATTTATAAGTTATATCGCCAAGAACCATATCACTTTTCTTAGGTTCTAATTGCAGTAGTTGGTCGCGTTTCGCGCCTGACCGACCAACAGAGGGAACATTTGGAGTTTTCCGGATTTTCTTCACATGTTTAATACCTAAATAGGGCCAAGTTCTCATAGAAAGTCTTCCTGGGAGATACTCTCCTAGAAGATCGGTCAAGAGTTGCATTGCCTTATTCCATTAATCCGGATTCTGTTTGTTAAACATTGTAAAGCAACGAAACTTTCAAATTAATTGATTTTTTAGAATAAAATTAATTTTTAATGTTAAAAATTATTTTAAAATTAATTTAAAATATTTTAACTTAATTGTATATTTATTTGTTAAATTATTAATAAACGATTTTTTGATTTTTTTGTAAACTTTAACAAATTTGATTTTTTTTACACAAAATAAAATTAATATATTTACCATTTAACTTACAAATAAAGCAAAATTAAAACTAATTTATTTAAGTAATGAATAAAAAGTTATTTTAAGTTATAAATTATTTATTATTTTGATATTAGTAAAAATATTTAAATAAATAATAAGGACAGAAGATTTATTTATCGATTTTTGAATCATCTTAAGAATGTCGAACAAAAATATTTTTCGTATCCAATAAAATATTAACAATATCCACGGAAAAAGAATTTCATTGAAAAATTATAGCAATTATATTTTGAAAATGAAATTATAAACAATTTTTCATTATTGTTCTTTAATTAATTGATTAATTATCCAGATAGCCACGGAGTAAAGTGTTAGCCTATTGCTATGGGAAATCCGTGTTCGATCCGCTCTTAAATTCCACAATTCATTATGGGTCAACACAAATCAAGATACCGTTTCCCATTCCATGTTCATACTGGTCAACCCCATTATGGGTCAGACCAGGCCACAATGGGTCTGACCCATTGTGGCCGAGCAAATAACTTAATTGGCTGATGCTTCATGTAAATCAAGCAACCAATAATTACTTAATTACATAATATTTTAAATTTAATAATATAATAATAATTACTTACAAATAATTTTTATAACCAAAACCAGTTTTTATAAATTAGTCTATTTGTTCTGACAGTTTTTTGAAAACTAAACTAAAATTGGTAGATGGTGTCACAGACAATTATTCCATGCACTCACGGTTTATTTAGGCTATGTAAAATTTTAAATAATTACAATTAATCACTAAATAATTTAAAATGTATATAAAATATGAGCTTCACTCGTATGACATAATTGGTTTATAGGAAACCATTGTTAAAAGAGCCGTCGTAAAGCAAGCCATGAGATCAGTGTCACAAATTGAGATTATGTTCCTGAAAATCTCAATTTATGATAGCGAGATTATGGGAAATACTACTATGACCACTTTATGAAGTACGAAACGTTATATTCAAGCATTACTCATAAATTGAAATGACATTTCATATACTCATAATAGAAAATTTATATTAGTCGTAAAAGAGGGGTGGTAAGACGATGAGTCGTAAAGTGAAGGCAAAGAATTCGAATGATATTGGTAAAATTTTATAAGTAAAATTTATTTTAAAAATTAAATAAAAAAATATACAATAAAATTCTTAACCGTGGAAAGCGTTGTTGAAAAAATAAATAAAATAAAGAATTTATATGGATTTATAAACATAATTCTTGTTTACTGATTGTTTACACAAGGACAATTTTATGTTTATTCAGTTTACAATTTTTTGTTCTTTGTCTTTTGATTTATGAAATAAATTTATTTTTCTTGTATCCCATTTAATCATATTCAGTAATGGTTTATCATAATTATGAAAAGTTGATATTAAATACTGTATTATAAATTTTCAAAAAATGAAGATAGTTTTTAGAAGCAAATTACTTTTTATTAAGAAACCAATTTAAAAACTTAATTACCTAATTCGTAAATATGACGAAAATTAATTACATCTGAAAAATTGTTCAATTAATTTACTAAATTTTCTTAAAATGAAATTTTAAAAAAATCAATTAAAAACATCAAATTTTCAAAAATTTCACTTTTCAAACATTTATTTTTAGAAAATCCACGAATAAATTTTCTACAGAAATTCTAAAATTTTATTTTCAGTTTTATTTCAATAAAATTTATGAAATTATTCGAACAAATTTTTTAATGTAACTACTTCTCATTGTGTTATTTGCGTGTTTAACAATTGAATTTTTAAGGTCATCATGATGAAAAATAATTTTCTTTGTGATATAAAAATTAACAAATAAACTTTAGAGATTAAAAATTATAATAACAATAATAATCTCATTTTACGTATTTTCAATTTTGTAAATAAATTTTTTAATGAATTAAAAAAATTAGAGTTTTCTAAAAAAAATTAATTTAAAAATGAATAATTAAAGAATATTTTTCCTGTGTGAAGTAAGAATTTTTTTCAATTTTTCATAAAAATTGCTTTAAAGTAATTGAAATAGTGATCAGAATCACAGAAAATGATCTTTATCACTTAACTAATCTCTTCCTACAATTGATATTAGCATTTGGAGTTTATATTTGCGATTTTATGTTTATTGCATACAATATATTGACTGTTTGTAGATTAGTGTTTAACCTTTAGAAACATTTTATCTTATAAACCGTAAGCAATTAAATTAAAGTCACCTCTGGGAAAGATGAAGAGAAGCATTCGAGAATGTTTAATTTATATTTAAACGTTAAATTTAATTTGGTAATTGGTTATTTTAAGTGCGCAATTTATTTCATGGTTTATTACTTTTATTATATTTTGAGATGCTGAGACAATACTAAAGATATAAATAAATTGGGGCAAACGGTCAAGAGTTATGCAAACTTTGTAAAGCTGGCAGAAGCATTGAATTGTACAGCTGTTAGATGAAAACGTGATAGGTTATACAATAATGACATTTACAAGCATATGATAACTTATTTATGTGCAGGAAGAATTCTGATTACTAGCATCCACCATAGCATACGTAAAATCCAATATGCTGTACAAAATCCCACAATGAGCAATGGGTAGTCTTTAGAATAATTTCTAAATTTATGTATATTATATGTTAGTATTAAGTTATTTTTATTTTTCAGATGAGAAAACATCTATTAATATTATAAATTTATTAAATACATCTTTAATTCTTTAAATCTTTTAAAATTTATATTTAAATTTTAAAAGATAGAGATTAAAATTGTGATTTTTCTACTAATTCATTTTTGGTGATAATTTTTTTGATGTTCGTTTATATATATATTGATATATGTATATATTTACATATAAATTAACCAATTTTTAGCTTATTTAAATAAATACGTAATTTATTTTCTATTTTTTTATATAATATATAAGAAATAATTTTTAATAAACAGTTTCTATTAACAGCATCATAATAGATACATACAGTACACATTGCAAATTTTGTTTTATCCCAAAAAAAATATTAATTTAACTGTA